AGCAGGGAGCCCGATGCGGGACCCGATCCCGGGACTCCAGGATCATGACCTGAGCCGAAGGCAGTCGCTTAACCAACTGAGCCACCCAGGCGCCCGCCCACCCCATAATTTTTACGTTTCATCTCCTTTTTGTAGAATCACGTTACTACTGCCGTGTGTCCTAATTAATTCTTTGGGCAGTCATTTTCCGGCTGTCTTCCCTGCTTTATGATGGCAGAGATGGTGTCGAGCAGGCTCACTCGTGCCCGAGTACTTACCCCAGAGCCCGGGACGGGCGTTCTGCTCACTGGGAGCCGCCTGGATGCATGAATCAATCACACTCACTCACCCCTCCTGGGAGCAGAACCTGCATGATCCCTTAGCTCTCCGTCCTCCTTCCACGTGATTCCAGTCATCTTGCCCCCCGGCCTTGCCTCCACACCCAGAATCCCTTATGGGGGAACCATGACAGGTGCCTCTGCCGGCTCCTTCACCATTAAAGCTTGCTTTGTTTATTTCTGGTCAAGTGTTTGGACTCCAGAAGCCCTAGATTTCACACCCATGTCCCTGAAACAGCCCACCTGATGCAGGGGATAGGATTCAGGAGAAATGTTAGGGGCCAGAGAGGCAGAGGAGGCGGCTCCAAGGGGCCCCAAAAGCACTCTGCGTTGCTCACACTTTTGCAGATTATGGTCCAAACGCTACTGTGTACCAGATGTTTACAATGTCACAGCCATTAGGCAAGACTCCCTGTATACTGTTAATCCTCACAGCCCTGCCAAGTAAACAGCGTTCCTTCCTTCCACGGATGAAGAAGCTGAGGTTCAGAAAGATCAAGGGCTAGATCCGGGGTTACACAACCAGGAAAAACTAAGCAGCAAGCCAGGATTCAAAGCAAAGATTCAAGGGGCGCCTGGCTGGCTCAGTCAGAGGAACCTGCAACTCTTGACCTCCAGATCATGAGTTCGAGCCCCATGGTGGGTGTAGCGATTACTTAAATAAAGAAATAAATAAACTTGGGGGGTGGGGGGAAAGTGCTTAAAAAAAAAAAAGGCAAAGATTCGAGCCACCAGATCCACCCCAGGGTGGATCCTGTACCCAATTTCCCTTCCTGGACGGAATGGGAAAGCAGCGGGCACCTTCAGGCTGGGGGAAGCTTCTCTTCCGGTTTTCCCCTTGTTTAAAGAACACAGGTTCATTTGAAAAGGAAGAAATGAGTACCAGCTAGTTCGGGCTTGCTCAGAGCAGACACTGCAGGAAAGGGACATCAACAGGAGGCCAGGACTGGAGGGACACACACACACACACGTATACACAGCCACACACTCACACATACACAGTCACACACACACACACACACGGTCTCATGACACACACACATGCACACTCACAACACACAATCACACCCACCCGCACATACGTAGTCACACTCACACATATGCTCACAAACATACACTCATGCACGCGCATGCACACACACAACACACAAGCAGACACAGTCACACTCATGCATATACAGTCACACACATACACACACATTCACACTCATGCACGTGCACGTACACACAACACATGGTCACACTCACACTGGCCCAAACATGCACGTACTCACATATGCACACTCACAGATAGACTCGCACACATACGTGCATGCAGACGCACACTCACGCACACTTAAAAACTTCTTAATTAGAGAAGGTGTCACAATCCCCAATTGCAGTGCAGTGCTTGGCTTGCAGATATTCAGAAATTGGCTTCTGGCAAAAGAAAATGCAGCATCAAGGAGCGAGCTCAGCCACAGATCTGAGCATGCGCCGTCCGTGCTCATGCTCGCCTCTTCCGGCCTCTGCTGCCCCAGGAGGAAAGCCACAGGCCTCCCCCCTCCCCGGCATCCAAGGCCTAGCCCCCAACACCTTCCTATCTCCCGGTGTGCCTTGGGCTCCAAACAAACCATGTCCTCACTGTCCTCAGAACACTCTAGAGCCTCTCACCCCACACCTCTGCCCAGGCCTTCTGCCTCACGGACCCTTCCCCTTTCCTTTGCCTGACAAGGGTCTGTCCTGCCTTATGATCCAGTGGGAAGGTCCTCCGGAGGCCGTCCCAACCCAGTAGGTGTTCTCAGACCCCAGGTGCTCTCAACACCCTGCGCCATCGTCCCCTGAAAAAGATATTGAACACCTGGCCTAAAACACGAGCTCCTAATATCTCCTAAATATCCCCCAGCAAGAAGAATGTTCTTTTGTTCTCTGTAGCCTTGCACACGTAATGCTATGAAGTCTGTTCGGATCCTCTGCCCATTTTTTTTTTTTTAAAGATTTTATTTATTCATTTGAGACACAGATACAGAGAGAGCGAGAGCATGAGCAGGGGGAGAGGCAGAGGGAGAGGGAGAAGCAGGCTCCCCGC